GTCAGCTTCTCCTGGTTAGGATTCATTCAGTGTTTCAGGAGGTTTCTACTGGAAGCTGAATGGACCTTTTTCACAGGAGCCATTTTGACATTAAATAGTAGGGTAAACACAGATGTTACCAATGAAACTAATTAAAGTTATGTTCCATCCAGATCAAACAGAGTCAGAGTGCTGGTATTGTACATTTAGGTTAAATGAAAGACTCTGCTACACTAAATGAAATGGAACTTTATTTGCACTATTGTTGGAATCATTTTGGGTTAATGTAAGTACACTTAACTAAATATAGAACATAGATCTAGTGTTTCGGCATGCAAGTTTTCTTTTTGTGCAAATATTTCAAAACAGAACCCCAAACTGGTTGAAATGAGGCTATTTATTCTGCTTTCATTCTCTTTGGGTTTCTCCATCCATTACTTCAGTAAGCTGCTTTAACAGCAGTATAATTGGATGTCGCAGAGAGGGAAGGCATGTGATCCCTATGCGGCTGTGGAACACACAGCGTCTTTGTCTGATGAGGGTTTTCTGAGCGCTGTGGCTATGGGGGCATCCTTCACTAACATCCTGCCTGAAAGAGAAACAGGTGTGTCTGCAGCAGAGAGATTAAACTCTCTTTGACTATTTGAGGCTATTGAGTGCAGAGCACACATGCAGACAGACACCCAGCAGCAGGCACCTTTCACAGCTTCAGGCCTCAGGACACTCAACAAAATGGACCTTTGTATGAATCTATTTTAGTCTTTTTACTTAGCATGTTTGCAGAAGATGAATTTATGCAGCTTTTGATGTGGCTTCCACCCTCTCTTTGATGTATACAACACAAAAAAATTCCTCCTCGTATGATTCATAATATAGGAAAGAGGAAGATTAACACTTAACGTAGAGGGCTTCGTGAGCTATAGTGTGGCTGTGAACTAGCAGTCACACAATATTTTCTCATTGTAAATTGCTGCTTGTTCTGGTCTGGATTGTTACCACATGGCTTCCTGACACCCACTTGTGATTGTTGGATCGCAGTTCTCTATTAATGTAAGACACTGGGGTTCGGCAGGATGTGGAGTCTGTTCAGAAAAAGTATTGTAAGCCCTTTGCTTAAGGGGAGCATCAATAGAGGTGTAATTATAGGGGAAGTTTCACGGCTGTGAAATGAGCAAAGAAATGAATGTTCTGCAAATTGGCAGCCGCTCTCATGTTGACTGAGTAAGCAACACATTATAGCTGCTGGAGGGTCACACAGTTCAGGGCTCTTTGACAGAGGCAGTGCCACTCCATTTTTTACCCACATTAGGCCAGACTCAGTGATTACTGCCTCTGACCACCCGAACATCTTCTGGGGCTCCAGACCCTGAATGTTTTCTCAAAAGCCTCGAATCTTTTAGGCTTATAAAATAACTTCAACTTTGTCATTTCCCCTCAGTTGCTCTGACTGGACCCGAAAATCAATGGACCAAAAGTTCTATTACCGCAGAAATATGGTCTTTGAAAAGCTTATACTTAGTTATGCTGCTATAGGCC